CAAAACCCCAAAACCCCAAAACCCCAAAACCCCAAAACCCCAAAACCCCTTAAGTCCAGATTATTCTGAATCAACATGAAAACAAATTCAAGAGATATATGTTGTCAAATTAATTAGAATTAAATAAAAATCAAAGAATGAAAGGTATAGGGAAGTACTTGATAGAAAAGGTCTCGCTTGGCTAAGGACAGTTCGGCTAAGTCTATCGATGTCATTTGAAGGAGGATGATTCCAAAATATTCGCTTGCAAGGTAATAAAAAAAAGTGATCTCACAGCCAAGCTTTATGACAATTTGAAAAATGAAATCAACATTCTGGCGAAAATTGTCAGCCAAAATGTGATTTAATTGAATGATATTCAGAGAACTGAAAACAACTTCTACTTGATAATGGAGTTTTGTAATGGAGGAGATCTAGAAAAGCTAAAGAATTATAGGAAACGGTTCAATGAATTGGAAGCAAGAGTAATACTGCAATAATTGGTTTCAGGCTTTAAAGAAATATACAATTGTCAAGTGATGCATAGAGATTTTAAGCTGGCAAATATTTTAGTGCACTTTGAGAATGAGGATATGCTACTCAAGCATATTCCTGATGCCAAAGACAGAGAAAATGTGCTAAAGGCTAAGTTACAAACAATGGACTTAATTAAGGCAAATATGCAAATAAAAATTGCAGATCTTGGCTTTGCAAGAGAAATGAATTATGAGGACTTGACATAAACTGTTTGTGGCACACCTTTGGTCATGGCACCAGAAATCTTGAATGGCAGGAGATATAATCACAAGGCTGATGTTTGGTCACTTGGTGTTGTGTTCTTTGAGATGATTACTGGGTTCACACCATTCACAGGAAGAGATAAAAAAGATTTGATCAATAATTTAGACAAAGGAGTCTATAAGCTTCCTAAAAAGTTAAAGCTCTCTCTATCAGGGCTTGATTTTCTGAATAATTGTCTACAATTCGACTCTGAGAAAAGAATGAGCTGGGATGACTTAATCAGACATCCTTATGTGACTATAGATCCTAGAAACGAAAAAGTTGACGAAGAGTTGCATTTATCTTACTCCGAGTATCATGGTTAATATGTAAGATAAGATATGATTGGTCAAATCAAAGACTCTGAAATTCTGAACAAGGATTAGCCTCACAGATTCCTTAATGAAAGGAATGCTATTATTCTCAATTGTAAAGATCCTCAGTAGTTCAACTAAGTCTACTAGAAGGCATTGTAAAAGTAGTTTTAGGACGCTGTGGGAGCAGCTGAAGAAAATCTTATCAATTTAGATTAAATTAATTAGGATAATGGACCCATAAGCAGACTTGTTAGATCAATGATTGAAGAAAAACTTGATGAAGAGAGCGACGATGAGGTATACTTCGATTCAAGAGATAAACAGCAGCAGAACTAAAACAAGCAAAACGAGATATTTGCTGAGGAACTAAAAGAATATGAAAAATTAGATGAGGCAAAAGTTAAATCATAAGAAAAAGTGAAGCTTAACCAAGAATCTAAAGAGAGCAACAAATAAAAGAGTGCCAAGGGCCAGAGAGAGGAAGAAATTCTTGGTTTGATTGTTGATGAATCTAAGCCAGAAGCTCGTAACATTCATTTCGATTAGATGGTGTTTAATACTAATAAGAATGATATTCAAAATCTGATTAACATTGATGAGATGAAGCAGCAAATGGAATAATTGAAGTAATTTGAAGAAGAGAAAATGAGAAAGTAATAATAGTAACAAAGCCCCGAAAAGAAAGTAAAAGATTAACTTATTTAGATTCAAAAAAATGATGTCATTTAGAAACAATAAGATCAAGTTGATGATCAGTAGGAAGTTATTGTAAACAAATAGGAGATTATAGATGACGATACAATAAGCTCAAAGTTCGAGGAAGTAAAGAGAGATTACATATATCAAGAAGCCTTGCATCATTAGTTACCTCATGATTAGTTATTCGACATGGCCTAAGATTCTATCTACCCTAAACTTAAGGACAATCCTCATCTTCTTGATTAGCAAGCATTCCTGTTTGATCAGCAGCATGAAGATTAGGAGGTGGAAATAAAGTTCAATGAAAACTACTTCTGAATTAAAATTATACTCAGAATATACTCAGTTTAACTTGCAATTAGTAGATATATCTAAATATACGAGGTATCTCTTAACTTACTAAGTCTATTAAAATCCAAATTTACTCTGTTTTTATTGCTCACGGGGTTTTGGGGTTTTGGGGTTTTGGGGTTTTGGGG